CAGGGGTGAGAGTGACACTGGTGTAGCAGACACACCCACGGGTGAGAGTGACACTGTAACCACACACACCCAGGGGTGAGAGTGACACTGGTGTATCAGACATACCCACAGGTGAGAGTTTGTCCTTCTGCTGGAGTCCAGTCGGTCACAGCGGAGCTCGCGCTCCTGAATGAGGGCAGTCCTGAGACTCCCTCACACCTCCACCTGAGTGTCCCTGACGCAGTCATACATCCTGACACTGCTGCCAACAGGACTTCAGGACTCTCATCTAGACCGTTTTTTAAACTGCTTTATTCAATTCAGGGCTGGGGGGGAGCTGGAGTCTATCCCAGCAATACAGGACAAACACAGGACACACACTCACACACCCTGGACAGGACACCTGTCCAACACAGGACACACACACACCCTGGACAGGACACCTGTCCAACACAGGACACACACACTCACACACCCTGGACAGGACACCTGTCCAACACAGGACACACACTCACACACCCTGGACAGGACACCAGTCCAACACAGGACACACACACTCACACACCCCGGGCAGGACACCTGTCCAACACAGGACACACACTCACACACCCTGGACAGGACACCAGTCCAACACAGGACACACAGATACAGACACACACTCTGGACAGAACCCCAGTCCATCACAGGACGGGAACACACACACTCACACCAGAGCCAGTTTTCACAGAGGAAACCCCCCCACACACAAAGGGAGAACATCCAAACTCCACACAGACAGCACCCCAGAGCCCAGCGATGCTAGTGACTTTGCCACACTCTGCCCTTCCTATTACAAACCAGGTTCGGCTTTTTAAGAGCTTGAAGCACATGACAATCGCCTTGAAGGAGCTCTGGCCGTGAAGCACTCAGCAGGGTCAGAGGGAGTTACAGACGAGACCTGGAACAGCGGGGACGGGCGATTCCCACCACCTTACAGCTGCAAACCGCGCGGAACCGCCCTCCTCCCTCTCCGGGACCCGCTGACACGAGTGGGTCAGGCGTCGTCCTGGCTGTTTGGTCTTTTTTCAGCTCGTTCATGACGACGAAACAGCTTTGACGACGCTCCCTGACCTGCGAATAACAAAAACAAAATCTTCCGCTTACCGTCCTGTGTTGTTTTTGAAAAGAGACGAGGCTGCCCGGTGCCGTCTCCCCGAGCTCGGGGTGGGGGTGAGTGGGCGTGGGCGTGGGCGCGGCGGATGGAGATCACGGCCGGCGCTGTCTCCTCGAGGACCAGACACAAGGGGGAGACACGCCCTCCTCGTGTTTGCTCAGAGCGTGTGCGCCCCCCTCCCCCGTCCGGCCCGTGCGCAACCGCGTGTGTTTGTTTTGGGCCGTCGCTATGACAGCAGCCCCCCCCCGGCTCGGTTCACTCGAGGCCGAGATGAGCTCAGTCTGCGCGAGGCAGAAAAGCGGGTTTGTCCGGAAGCTGGCGCAGGGGAGGGAGGGTTTGTGTTGGGGAGAAAGGCGGTGTAGTTACTAAGTAAAAGAATGCCTTTCTGGGAGCTTTCCGCGATTAAATGCGTCTGTTTTATTTTAAACACGAATTAGCACTGAAAACGGCGTGTTTGAGACCCGTTTGATGAGGGTTCTGGTGGGGGTGAGGGGTGGGGCGTCTTTTCTGTAGTTTGCAAGCTTCAGTAACACAAAGGGAGACAAAATAAAGAATTTCCGCCCCCCCTTCCGTCGGAAAATACTCTTCTGACTCGTAACACCGACCAGCCAGCCCCCCCCTACACAGTTCGGGTCTTTTAAACGACTTTTACATGAGTGTTTCACTGCGCACTGGGCTCCCAGCACCAGTGAGTCATGTCTCTGGCCGCACGGACGCGCTCAGACCAGCTCTCTCACACCCCCCAGAGAGCACGAGGGGAACTACAGGGAAGAGCATCTAAAACGGAGGCACTTCTTTACACAGCGAGTGGCAGGAGTCTGGAGCAAGCTGCTCAGCCGTGTTGCCTGCATGGTTGAAGTTT